TATATATATATATATATATATATACAGGGTGTTAGAAAAGTCTGGAAACGGTCGAATATCTCGAAAACAAACCATTTTAAAGAAAACTGTTTCAGATAAAAATTGTTTAGTTCGAAAGGTTCTATAAAAAGGTGTAATGGGTTTGACCTTGAATAGTCATTTGAAGGTCATATGAAGATCATCTTTAATTTTTTAAATGGAATACCCCATATATTATTATATATTCTTATAGCTTATATCGAGTGCTTTCCAAAACATTATAATAAAATATTCTTTCGTTAAGAACTTTTCGAGTAATAACACTTGAAATTTCCAGCACTTTGACATAGAATACAAAATATCTCGTAAAATATTCATTTTTCGATTATCTTGCCTTAATGATTTTTTGCACAGAATAATGAGACAAATTAATTGGCTTAAAAAAGCAAAAAAATTTTTTTATTTTATGTAAAAAATTTTTTTATATTTATGTAAAAAAATTTTTTTTTTTTTTTAAGCCAATTTGTCTCATTATTCTGTGCAAAAAATCATTAAGGCAAGATAATCGAAAGATGAATATTTTACGATATATTTTGTATTCTATGTCAAAGTGCTGGAAATATCAAGTGTTATTACTCAAAAAATTCTTGAACGAAAAAATATTTTAGTTTTTGGAAAATTAAAAAATATTATAGTGTTTTGGAAAGCTCTCGAAATAAGTTATAAGAATATTTAATAATATATGAGGTGTTTCATTTAAAAAATTGAAGATGACCTTCATATGATCTTCAAATGACTATTCAAGGTCAAACCAATTACACCTTTTTATAGATTCCTTCGAACCAAACAACTTTTAGTTTTATCTGAAACAGTTTTCTTTAAAATGGTTTGTCTTTGAGATATTCAACCGTTTTCAGACTTTTTTAACACCTTGTATATATTACATATATTTTATTATATAAGGTGTAGCAAAAAGAAATCCATTATTTTTGCATGAAATTGAAGGCTTTACGTAGCATAGTTAGAATGATCCGATTTAGGTCAAATATGCACCGTTTTGTTCGATAACTTGTTGCCATTTTGAAGGTAATTCCATTATGCCTCTCTCATAGAAACCCTTGTCCATATTGGCAAAAAACTGGGACAGTCGATTTTCACAAGTTTCTCTTGAGGCGAATTTTTCACCAGCAAAATCATTCGCCATAGACAGGAACAGGTGGTAATCACTTGGTGCCAGATCCGAACTATAAGGTGGATGCATAAGAACCTCCCAACCAAACTCCCGGAGTTTCTGGCGAGTCACTATCGATGTGTGTGGCCTGGCGTTGTTCTGATGGAACACAATTCCTCTCCTATTGGCCAAAGCTGGCCGCTTCTGGGCGATTGATTCCTTCAGACGGTCCAATTGTTGACAGTACAGGTCCGAATTAAGAGTTTGGCCGTAGGGGAGCAGCTCATAGTGGATGATTCCCTGCCAATCCCACCAAACACACAGCAAAGCCTTCCTGACCGTCAATCCTGGCTTGGCCACCGTTTGCGCCGACTCACCGCGTTTCGACCGTTTTCGCTTGACGTTGTCGTAAGTGACCCACTTTTCATCACCAGTCACTATCACTATCATTTTCATCACTATCCGCTGCAGAAATGGGTCGATTTTGTTGCGATTCAGCAGCGATTCGCAGATGGAAATTCGGTCCATGAGGTTTTTTTGCGTTAACTCGTGTGGCACCCATACATCGAGCTTCTTTTTGTATCCAGCCTTATTCAAGTGGTTCCAAACGGTTTTTTGTGCAATGTTTAGCTCCTGGGCAATCGAAACAGTGCTTACATGACGGTCGGACTCGACGATTTCCATTATTTTATCGACATTTTCGACAATTGGCCTTCCAGAGCGTGGTGCATCTTTGACATCAAAATTACCGGAACGGAATCGACGAAACCAAAATTGCGCGTGATTGGCTGTTACAGTATCAGGACCATAAACACTATTCACATTTTCAGCCGCCTGGCTTGCGTTTTCGCCTTTATCGAAGAAAAACTGTTAAATATGGCGTATTTTCTCTTTGCTGGTGTCCATCTTTGACGCGCGTCAAACAATCACAAAACTGTCTCAGAAGTTTTTTTAGTACGAAATCTTATCTTTCTAACGCCATCTAGCGTAAACCGATCGCACTTATACAACGCGAGATACACATTACTAAAGCCATCTATTGGAAAAATAATGGATTTCTTTTTACTACACCTTATATATAATAATACTATATATTGGGAATGTGCATTAATTTTAAAGGATTTCAAGAGATGGCGTAACTAGTACTATATCGCATTGGGCTATATTATTGCTACTTTCATGTCAAAGCACCATCATGTGGCTTTAGTTTTCAGTATGTGTCATTTTGCCAAAGTGTAAACAACATTGTTTTTTTGAGCATTGAATATGTCGAATTTTGTGCCAACAAAACGTAATTTGCGGAAAGCTTTGTTTTTTTGCTTTCATTTGAAGAAAAGTGCTGCTGGAAGTCAACGAATGCTGCCGGAAGCTTATGGTGATTATACTTCATCGACTTCAACATGTGAGTACTGGTTTCGATAAATAAAAAGATGATAAAATAGGCTATAAAAAAGGTGATTTTGACACGCAAGACAAGGAACGTCCAAACCAGCCGAAAAAGTTGAAGATGAGGAAGTGGAAGCTTTACTCGATCAAGACCCGAGTCAAATGCAAGAAGAACTTGCAGAATCATTAAATGTTGATCAATCATCGATTTCCAAACGTTTGAGGGCCATTGGAATGATTCAAAAGCAAGGAAATTGGGTGCCGTACGAGTTGAAGCCGAGAGACGTCGAAAGGCGCAAAATGACATGTGAATTGTTGCTTCAAAGACACAGAAGAAAAAGTTTGCATCATATCGTGATGGGTAATGAAAAATGGATACGCTATGATAATCCGAAGCGCAAAAAATCATGGTGCAGGCCAGGCGAACCATCAACATCGACGGCAAAGCCGATTATTCATAGCGCCAAGCTCATGCTCTGTATTTGGTGGGATCAGTTGTGTGTAGTGTATTATGAGCTGTTCCAACCCAACGAAACCATCACTGGAGAACGCTACCAACAACAATTGATGTAATTGAGCCGAGTATTGAAGCAAAAACGGCCAGATTACATGAAAAGACACGACAAAGTGATTTTCCAGCACGACAACGCTCGGCCACATGTTGCGAAACCGGTCAAGGAAACGTTAGAAGCGCTTAACTGGGATGTCCTACCACACCCGCCGTATTCTCCAGATATTGCTC